AGTACTTGAAACTTTAATCTTACATCCACCAAAACATATATACAATAAGGTTTAGACTTCAACTTCATACCATACAATTTGTTCCATAGTTTACATAATACACAGCTTTAAAGACAAACAAAAGACTTCATTGAAAGGGGTTAGCAAAAACTTGGCTCCTTGTGAGACCAAGAAACGCCCCATCGCGGAGGCACACAAACAGCTTCACAAGGTAGACTTCTGAGGCTTCTCTATATTTTGTGGGAATTATTAATGGGGAATATTGAGCCTCATTGGTTGTAGAGTATATATATATATATTTATATATAAGGGAAATGGGTGGGTTGGAGCCTAGTGAGTAATATCAATATAAATGGTTAAATGAATGAAGACCAATACATTTTGAAACATAACCTTTTGGCAATCATAAGGATTCAAATCTTAGTCATATTAAAGTTTTGCAATAACAATATCCATTCAAATCATATTACATGGTAACATCCAATAGAGTAACAAATATACAATGTGCTAAAGCCAATAGGACCACAAGGTTCGATTCAATAGGACCACACAGGTCAATCAATAAACATCAATGAGTAATTCAATGTGGATCACAAGGGTCTAACATCAGAAATCTCTGTGTTTTAATTATTCCACTGGGCTATTGTATTGTTTCCCCTAAGTAAGGGCCTTACTGAAGGATGCCACGATTACAAGTGCAAAATTGATCTCCATTCATAAATAGAAAAATAAGATTTCAAATAATATTCTTGACTAATTCAAAATGCCATTGGAACATAGCTTTATAAAGACATTACTCACAGTGGGTTTGTATCGATATAAGTTTTGGGCAGCCACCTACACAAAATACACAATAAAGGCACATAATGAAACACCTGTCTTAATGAAATGTTCTTTTAATCCAATTCCTTGTGTTTCTAACTCATTTCCCTATTAAAAATGTCCAACCAATGCCCATGAATGCCTAAAGGAGAATGCAGATATGCCCACGAGAGCGTTTTTCAAAAATGCTAAAAACATGGCAATTCACTGGAGCATACCTGTGGTCACTCGAGCGGTGTGGCCTGTTTGCAAACATACTGGATGGTGCGAAAGTGGGCTCAAGCCATTACTTGGTCGCTTGAGCCAAGTGCAATGCAAAGCTGGGCTCGCTCGAGCGTATACTTGGTCGCTCGAGTTAGTTGTAAAGGTTTGCGAAAATATTGGAAGCATGCAAAGTCAGCTCAAGCGACAATTCCATCGCTCGAGCGAAGTGGTCAAATTCTGGGTTTTCCATAATTGAGTTTTGAGTTCCAAAACATCAGTTTCATGCCTGAAAGCTTGCATGGCTAATAGAAACATGATGAAACACTTTATAAAACACATGAATACTTGGTAATCACCAAACCAAAGTCTCAAAATCTCTTTCAATTTTCCAAAACAAAACCCAAAACTCTATAATCTTGCTATGCATGTAATGAATTCTATTCTTTTCATTTCAAATATGAACATATGAAATAATGAGTATAAAATTATGGAGAATCCTCTAAGATGTCAAGTGCAAACTCCATGCATGTATGAATTGTGGGAAAATCATGCTTGAAGATGATGAATTTATACATGCATGTCCTCAATTGACTCATTCCTTCCATTTTCCTACCAATTACATGAAGATTACTCTCATTACATGAATTCAACTCCTACATTAATTATCTACAAGAGTTTTGATTGTAATTCATACCTAGAGCATGTGATTAAAGATTGGTAGCTTAATTTCCTCAAATCCCTTCTTAATTCTTCATAATTCTTCTTCTTCTCTCTCTAAAGGAGTAGTTCTCTCCCTCTCTCTACAATTTCAACCAAATATGTTAAAGAAATGAATTTAATTAAGCTTAGATCATATATATAGGCTAGATTAGGTTAAGCAAATTAAGTAGGATTAAGGCTAATTAATTTTGCTCAAGTCTAATTAATCCTATTCAATTATAATTGACTTATCCTAATTATTTTGATCTGAATTAAATTTTATTGGACTAGTCAATTTTGGTTCTTGAATCTGTTTGGGCCTTCAATTTTCGATTCGAAGTTGGTATTCTAATCGATATTCCATGAACAAATAGATAAACATAAAATTAAATATATAATCATGCAATTCTCTTAATAAAATAATATGCAAAAATGATATGCACGTCGGGGCCGTCACAAAAATACCGCATCTTCTCTAATCCCAAACCCTAACCCTAACTTCACCACTACGTCGTCGCCTAGCTACTTTGCCATGTCCCTTTCGTCGAGTCCTTCCGCGTTGTTGTGATTCCTCTTGAGTCCCTTCTCGTTGTTGCGATTCATCTTACGAGACCCTTTCTCGTCTTCTTTTTCTCCTTGATCCAAGGTTTCAAGTTGGGAGGCAATGACTATCATTGTCCTAACCCTCTCTTTTTCTTCAAATATATATGTGTGTGTATGTGGGGGAGGGGGGGTGAGGGTCATGGGAGGTGAAGACCACGAATGGTGCATTGAGGGAATATGGGGACTTTGGAGGTGGTTGATTACGATGGTGGGAGATAAAAAAGGTGGCAGATGGAGAGAACTGTCAAAGCCTGTAGATGAAATCAAAATATTGAGCCTCCTTGGTTGTAGAGTGGCAGCGAGTGAGGTTAGGAGCGTGTGGTAGTGTAGGTTGCAATGCTGTGGTTATAGCGGCGAAAGTTGGTGGGGGTAGTGGGATGAGAGGACTGCGATGGTAGTTCGAGAGAGGGTAATCATGGTAGTGGTTAGGGGACAACAGACAAATGTGGTGGATGATAGTGAGGTGGCTACAGGGCCGGCCCTGGGGCATAGGCCACAAGGCCATGCCTAGGGCCCTCAAAATAGACTCAAAAAAAAGGTTCCCTCCTATTATAATTTAGTGTAATATATTAGGTTTGTTTTAAGTCTAAAAAAATTAAAAAAGGCCTAAACTAATTTAAAATAAATTGACTAATTAAAAAATTGAAAGGCCATTCAAAAAAATTAACATTGTTATCCATTGAAAATAGATCCAAAAAAGAGGTCTCTCTTATTATAGTTTAGTCTAATATATTAAGTATATTTCAAGTCCAAAAAAAATTAAGGGATGCCCAAATTAACTTAAAATAAATTGATTCATTAAAAGATTGAAAGGCCCGTTTAAAATAATTAGCATTGTTATTCATTGAAAATGATTTTGTAAAAAAATTGGATTATGCAAGTATGATTGATTTATTTGTTTCTAAAAATACAAGAAGAGTGATGATTAAGCAATATTTATTAGTTATTGTAATGTAATGCTAAGTATTTTTTTTTTTTTTTGTGATTTTAACACAAATCTTTTGTCCTTTACTTTCAAATTTCTTTTTCATTCAATGAAAAGAAAAATTGGAAGGGCCCCAAAAATTTATTAGTTGATTATCAGCTTTGGGCCCCGAAAATCTCAGGACTGGGCTTGGGTGGCTAGTGATGTGAATTGAAAAAGAAAAAAGATTGGGAGATCTAAATTTAGGCCAAGTTTGGGAACTTGTAAAAAAATCAAAAAATTAAAAAGTTACTCAAAAAGTTAAAAAGCTAATACTATTCACCAAAAGTCAACAATTACGGCTGCACAACTTCCAATTCGAATTTTTCCTTACAAATCAAATTTTACAATTTTTTATTACACATTTTTTCATAAAAAGTCAAAAAGTCAACCCAAACATTCATTTTTTCAACCTCAATTTTTTAGTCAAAAAAGACAAAAAGTGCACTTATTTACAACACCCCAAACAACCCCTTAGAGCTCTAATAGCTCTAATTGGTGTATGGGTCCTATGTAACGTGATGTTTTGTTTTATTTTGTTTTGCTTTTTTTTTTTTGATTTTTCACATTATTAGTACTCTTTTAGAGTTCCGAAATTAAAGGGATGTGTCATTCCTAATTGAAAAATTAGGATTTAGATTTTGTCAAAAAAAAATATAATTTATTTAAGGTATAAAAATATAATTAAATTTTTTTAAAAACTAATATGTACTGAAACATTGACGGTTCTTTTTAAGGAAAGGCCTTACGTAAAGACCTTCAAAGTCTTGGTCTCCCTTGTGTAGTTTGCTTGTAGAGCTCTTTAACCATTTTAAAAATTGTTTGAGGTGTCTTAAATAAGTATATTTTTTATTTTTTTAGATTTAAAAATTAAAAAAAAAATATGGATGTTTAGGTTAATTTTTTGATTTTTTATGAAAAAATGTGTATTAAAAAATTGTATAAATTAGTGTGTAGGAGAAAATTAAGATTGAGAGTTGTACAACCGTAATTTTTGACTTTTGGTGAATAGTAATAACTTTTTGAATAGCTTTTTGACTTTTTAATTTTTTTTTAACTTGTCAAACTTGACCTTAGTACTAAAAAAACAAAAAAATATTAATAAATGATATGTAAATAAAATTGTCCTGTACATAATATTATTTAGGTCTTATTTAATAACTTAGATTTTAATTAAAATAGTTAATAAAAATAAATAAAATGAAATAATTAATAAAAAAATATTACATCTTATATATTAACTAGTTATTTTTTCCCTTACAACATTATAAATTTTTTTTATAAATCATCTCAAATATAAATTGTCTCAAATATAAATTCTTTTTATGTTATAACATAATTAAAAAAAAAAATCAGTTAAAATAGTGAAGCTCTCAAACAAGGCGAGAGAATAGCATCACGTGATAATTAATGTGAAATTTCTGATCTAAAAGACTTTAAAAATTAATGACCTCTCATCAATGAAGCTTGCAGTACGCGACCGAACATGAAAAAAATGTGGTCGGCAGGTTTAAACCAGAATCGTAAACTAATTACTTTTTCTCTCACAACCTTTTAATTTTTTTTATAAATCATCTCAAATATAAATTCTTTTTATTTTATAAAATAATTAAAAAAGAAGTCAGTCAAAATGGTGAGGCACTCAAACAAGACGAGAGAATAGCATCACGTGATAAATAATGTGAAATTTCCGATCTAAAAGACTTTAAAAATTAATGACCTCTCATCAATGAAGCTTGCTGTACGCGACCGAACATGAAAAAAATGTGGTCGGCAGGTTTACACCAGAATCGTATACTTGCTTTTCACAAGCTAGCAACCCCGCATGCTCTACACACGTCGTGCTGGCTTTAATTCAATTCAAGAGACGTCAAACCTTTTTGCTCTCTCTCTCTCTAGAAATCCGAGCTTTGATCTGTTCATCCATGGCTGTCCTGAACCGTCTTCTGAGAAGCTTGACCTTGTCACTCACACTCCGGAGGAGCTTATCATCTTCATCTTTGAATTCGGGAATAGGCCTCGGAGGAGCACCACCACCGCCGCCGCCGCCGTCTTCTCTGAATTTAAGTCTGGGTGGAGGAGGAGGAGGAGGAGACACAACAAACACAAAGAACAGGAATGTGCAGTGGGTGTTTCTTGGTTGCCCAGGCGTCGGCAAAGGTACCTACGCCGGTCGCCTCTCTCACCTCCTCCGTGTCCCTCACATCTCCACCGGCGATCTTGTTCGCGAAGAGCTCTCCTCCCTCGGCCCCCATTCCTCTCAGGTTTCTTAGGGTTATGCTTATTTATTTTTGAATTGTGATTGTCACAAAATGAGATCTCTCTTTTCTTTTTCGATTTGCATTTGCTTTTTGCTGATGATGATTTGATTTGGGGGTTTAATTGTTTAGCTAACTCCCTGAAGAAGCATATCTATGTGGTTTTGTTAAATTACACTTTTACACTGTGTTTGGATTGAGTGATTTGGAGAGAAAATAAAAGAAATAGAGAGAAATGGTTATCTTAAGTGGAGAGAAATAGAGAGAAACTCATTTCTCTCATAATTCTTATTTTCAATCAATCTTTCCAAAAGTGGAGAGATTGGGAGAGAAAAGAAATCTACAAATGTTTATATTTTCACAATACCAATTTTACCCCTATAAAAATAAAAGAAATAAAATGATTGAAAATATAAAAAGGTTATTTTGGTAATATAACATAAAATAATTTCTTTTCTTTTCTCTTAATGAAATCTACTTATTTTCAATCTTTCCAAAAGTGGAGAGATTGGAAGAGAAAAGAAATCTACAAATGTTTATATTTTCACAATACCAATTTTACCCCTATAAAAATAAAAGAAATAAAATGATTGAAAATATAAAAAGGTTATTTTGGTAATATAACATAAAATAATTTCTTTTCTTTTCTCTTAATGAAATCTAACCAAACAAGGAGGAGAGAAATCAAAATCATTTCTTTTCTTTTATTTCTTACTTATCCAAACAAAAAGGAGAGAAATTACAATCATTTCTTTTCTTTTCTTTCTTTTCTCTTATTACTTAAGTAATCATTTCTTTTCTTTTCTGTCCTAAGTTACCAAACATAGCGTTAGTCCTGTCAGAGTTGGTTGTTATCGAATATTACTCTTTTGCCCTCCGTTTGGATCTCAGATGAGGAAAGAAAAAAAAAAAAATAGTAATTGTGATTTATGTGGGAAAAGAAAATTAATGTTAGGTTTGATGGGTACGGAAGTTGAGCATTGTGATAGATAGAGAGGGATATGAATGAAATTTCTTTTTCTTCATTTGTATTTTAATGGGTAATTTCAGTATTATAAAAGTTATATTATCAATTAGTTTGGTTTTCCACTGAATCTTGCCACTTTTTTGCCAGAAATCAAATAAGAAAAATAAAAGTTATATAATTTATAATTTATAAACCAAACTTGACAGGGAGTTACCTTGCTCATCATTTCTCACCAAATTACCCCATGATCTGGACCATCATATAATGGAGGCAACTAAAATAAGATTGGAAATGAAATAGTGTGTAAGTTCACTTGATAACTTGAATGCAATTCACATATGGAAAACTCTGAAAGGAAAATTAGTGTGTTCAATGTTTGTTTGCTTATTGAGTTTATTTTTGGCTTATCTGCACCCATGACATGGAACTGTTTTGAAGATGCGGTAATAAGTGTTCTTTCTAAGTTAAGTTGTGTGCGGTGATTCTGAAACAATATTGAGAGCAAAATACGTATATATTAAATTGAGAAAATGCAAAAGGTGCAGTAGTACAATATAAATAGGTAAAAACCAAAACCCTTAGGTCGTAATTATAGGGACAAAGACTAAACTACTCTTAATGAAATCCTAAAAGCCTAATTGCAAGTAATAAGACTAAACTACCCTTAATGACTAAACTAAATAACAAGAACATGAACATAACATATTTCACTCCCCTCTCAAACTGAGGATGCGAATGCAGAGATCATCGAAAGTTTGCTAAGAAAACGAAAGCGAGCATTAGTGTGAATTTTTGTAAAGAAATCGGTCAACAAGAGGGGGGAACAAAAGGAAGAGCAAGTGTGCCAGCCTGAAGACGCTGCCGAACAAAATGACAATCTATCTCAATGTCTTTCGTACACAAATGAAAAATCGAGTTGTGGGCAATCTGAACAACACTTTGATTGTCACAGTACAATGGAGTTGGGGAAGACAGAGAAACTTCCATATCAAAAAGAAGCTAACGAAGCCAAACCACTTTAGAAGTAGCATGAGCTATGGCACAATATTCAGCTTCAGTGGTGGAATGAGCAACAACAGATTGTTTGTTACTTGTCGTAGAGATGAGAGAATCTCCAAGAAAAACATAGAAACTAGAGGTAGACTTGCGACTGAAGATATCACCAGCCCAATCAACATCAACATAAGCACGAAGAGTCAAATTTGAAGAGGAAGACAATAATAAGCATTGCAACAAGGTACCCTGAATGTAGCAAAGAACACGTAACAAGGTAGCCCAATGGGTGGAATGAGGAGCAGAGACAAATTGGTTAAGAATGTGCATGGTATAAGAGAGATTTGGATGAGTCACGGTAAGGTAAACAAGAACCCACCTGTGAAGATTATTGTATTTTCTATTAGTTATTTAGGGTAGTTTTGTCTATTAGGTTATTAGGGTTTATTTCATTTAGGTTATATATATTGTACTCAATGATTATTCAAGATATATGAAATACATGTTCTTTGTTATCATGGTATACAAGATATATGACCTAAATGAAATAAACCCTAATAATCTAATAGACGAAACTACCCTAAATAACTAATAGAAAATACAATAATCTTCACACCACCAACTCACGATATACAGTAGGATCCTTGAGAAGAGCTCCATCGGAAGTAGAAAACTTAACATGCAATTCAATAGGAGTTTCCATAGTCTTGGCATCAGTGAGATTGGCAAGAGAAAGGATATTGCTAGCATATTTGGTCTGAGATAAAAGATACCTAGTAGGAGAAAAGGCAACCACAATTATAAGAAAATATTGAAGAGAACCCAAATCCTTCATTCATCTCAAATTCTTGAAAAAGCTGTTGTTTGACCTCCTGAATAGTATTAGAATCAGACCCAGTGATAATCATATCATCTACATATAGGAGAAGAAGAACAAGACTAGCAGAAGAATGATAAACGAAAAGAGCCGAATCATGTAGGCTTGGACATAAACCAATCTGGTGAACAACAGACTAAAACTGCTTATAACATGCTCGTGGAGATTGCTTGAGACTATAGAGGGCATAATGAAGATGGCAAACAAGACCTGAAGGATGAGAAAGACCAGATGGAGGTCGTGTATACACTTTTTCTGCAAAATGTTCATTAAAAAAACCATTTTTGACACCTAACTGAAACATAGACCATTGATGGGCAGTAGCAACAGAGATAAGAGTATGAACTGTGTTCATCTTGGCAAGGGGCTAAAAGTCTCTTTGTAATCTATCACATACTCTTCAGAAATCCTCTTAGCAACCAAACGGGCTTTGTAACGTTCCAAAGAGCCATTTGAAAAAGTCTTGACCATGTAGACTCATTTGCAACCCACACGATTCTTGCTAGTAGGCAACGGAACCAAGTCCCAAGTTTGAGTTTTAGCCGAAGCAGTTTAACTCCTCATTCATGGTGGTAACCCAATTCGGAAGATAGGTTAGCCGTTTGTACGGCTATGATACCATGAAACAATATTGAGTGCAAAATACGTATGTATTGAATTGATAAAATGTAAAATCTGTAGTGGTACAATATAAATAGGTAAAAGTCATAACCCTAAGATCCTAATTACAGAGACTAAACTACTCTTAATGAAATCCTAAAAGCCTAATTGCAGGTAATAAGACTAAGACTAAACTACCCTTAATGACTAAACTAAATAACAAAAACCTAAATATAACATATTTCACAGATTCTACTTTAGTTGTGCGCTTAATTGTGGCCTATGTTTGAATCATGAGATGAGAAAAGAAAAGAAATAATTGTGCTCTCTCATTTATGTGAGAAAAGAAAATAAATGATTGTTTTTTCACATTATCATGTTTGGATGAGTAAGATATAGGTATATGGGGGTGATTTGTTTTTCTTCTTTTTTATTTTTATGGGCAATAAAAAATACACAACTATTCATTTCGCTTCTCACCACTTTTGATGAGAAATAAAACTGACAAAATAAGAGAGTTTTCTTTTTTTGTCATTTCTCACCTAACTTATTAACCAAACAAGAGAAAAGAGTCTTTTTTCATTTTTTCCCTCATCATTTCTCACCAAATCACGCAATCCAAATCACATAATCCAAACGGACTGTTGCCGTTTTCTTAGATCTTTTTGTCTGTATTCTTTTCTATCTTCATCTTTTGTTCCTTTTCTTTTGCAGCTTGCAGAGATTGTTAACCAAGGGAAATTGGTTTCAGATGAAATTATTATAAATTTGTTGTCCAAACGTCTTGAAGCCGAAGAAGCTAAAGGTCAATCAGGATTTATTCTTGATGGTTTCCCTCGAACTATAAGACAGGCGGTGAGCATTGCCGCCTTTGTTTTTTGTTTTTTGTTTCTTGCTTTTGTAATAATTGTTGGGAGTCTCAAAAATGCAAATTTGGCTGATTAGTACTCTGAGCTGACAACAAGTGCTAAATAAAATTTAATTAATTTTTTTCCTTTTTGATAAGTAAAATCCACTAAAGGTGCCAAGAGAGGGAGAATCTATGTAAAGATGAAGTATACTGATTCTTCAAGGCAAAAACTTCTAAAAATGCTACAAAATAATTGAAAGTAGTAAAGTAGGAAAACAAGAAGGTCATGGATCTGGAATTATTCGGACAAGATAAGCTTGCAAATAGTTTAACGTAGGACAATTTAGGAAACTAGGTTAATGTTGCTTACAATAGGTATTGTGACGGGTTTTGGTTATGGAAAGCTTCTAGGGTTAGGATTCTAAGAGGTAGAACAAAGATTTATGTGTTTGTAAGAATGAAAAGGGTGAATTTGAGTTGATTTCTAAAGTGTTAGGTTGTAGGATTTGTAGAGGAATTAAGCTAGATTTATTTGGACAACAGTGAAATAAATGGTTTCTAGTGTGGATTAAAAGGCGAAAGGTTGGGGATGATTTGAAGTTAGTTGCAGAAGTCTCCCATGGGGGCCTCGCTACTTGCTCCGGAACCTTGCTCCTACTCCCATTGAGAAAGAATCTGCGATGGAAATTTTCAAAGATATGAATCCCAAAGAAATTAAAAAAAAAAAAAATGCTATTAAGTAAAAGAAAATTTGTAGAAGTCATAAGATTATATGAAAATTAACTTAAATCTATTGTAGTATTTCATATTTACATAATATTTATTTTATATTTATAAATAAACAATATATAGTTGACAATTTTCAAGATTTAACATATATATTACAATTAAGCCAAAAAAAATTCCTAGGATATATATATATATAGTATATATAAACACTCTCAGAGGCGCTCCCTAAGTAGCAACAACACTAACACGTCAACATGTCGATTTTCAAAAAATGCTGGACACGACATGCTTGGGACAAATGAAATTTTATATTTTTACAGATCAATAATATGCAACTAAAATTTCTGATTTATATTGATACTTTTGTACATTGACTGTAAATGCAGTTTGCAAGAAATTGATCAGAAAATATCATTTTGAGATTACTGTTCAAAATAAGACTGTTTAGCCTTAACATTGTGGAAGAGGTAATATTGTAAGTTGCAAGTTTAAGTCAAACTTTGATAGCTCTGCAATTGATTGGTCGAAAAAGAAGTGAAATAACTGGTACAAGCGGAAGAAGATGTAAGGTAGAAATCATTGATAAGATCCAATGTCCAATAAAGTTTTTGATAATGTAATATTTCTGTGAGAAGGCTGCAATAAATTAGAAATTATACTGCTTTCCATTCCCTTAAAAATCCTCTAGCTGGATCAAATATCCTAAGCATGCCATCTTGTTGCACATTTTAGTAAGCTAGTTCTTGCCCTGAACATTACTTTATAAATTCTCTGATAAGGTGGTCGTAAACCTGGATATGCTTAGTCTTTTCTTGAAATTATTGAGTTGCTTGCAAAGCATTATTAGGTCTAGTTATCGTTCCATGTTTATAAGCTTACATACTAAGACTTCTAAGGATGATGTCTCAAATTGTTGATACTGCAGTTATCCCTTCCAACAGGGATACCATTAATATATTTACCTAACATTTATGATTAAGTTTTCTTCATTGGATAAACATCATTAGCTTACACGAAGACCCCCTAAACTATTAGAAAATATCATTTTGACCCTATAGGCTATAAAAGCATACAAATGGACCTCCTAAATTATTGAGAAGTATCACTTTGCCTCCTAAACTATAAAAATGTACAAATAAACCCCCTAAACTGTAAAAATGTAACAATTGGACCCTCTAATAGAAGGGTTAGGGGTCAACCTGAAACACGTCAATAGTTTAAGGGATCCATTTGTATGCTTTTATAGTTTAGGGGGTGAAGCGATACTTCTCAATAGTTTAAGGGGCCTATTTGTACGTTTTTATAGTTCAGGAGGTCAAAGTAATACTTTTTAATAGTTTAGAGGGTCTCTATTTAAATAACCCTTTTTTCTTCCATCATGGAATTTAGAATTTACTCAAAATTTCCAAGATTCTTTGTTGTCTCCCTGTGAGCAACATCTTCTGGAGGATTATGATTTATATTCTAAAATTTAGTAAAGATCTAACACACCAACACCCATGTCTGATATGTCCATAGTCCAAGATGCTTAGCTGAGGTCTTTTTATCAGTATTATTTTTCAGTTCCATGTTGCATATAAATTTAGAATTTTATTCTTCTCTGTCATTTTGAGAGAAGACCCTTTACAATTTTGTGCTCTTCTGCATCCTACTAATTTGCCTTTTGGAATTTGTTAATTTTCAGGAAATTTTAGAGGGAGTGATGGACATTGACCTGGTAGTCAATTTGAAACTTCGGGAAGAAGCATTGCTTGCAAAGTGCCTCGGAAGAAGGATTTGCAGTGAGTGTGGAGGGAATTATAATGTTGCCTGCATTGACATCAAGGGTGGAGATGGAAGCCCTGAATTGTACATGGCACCGCTTCTTCCCCCACCTCATTGTGCATCAAAACTTATCACCAGGTCTGATGACACTGAAGAAGTTGTAAAGGAACGCCTCCGAGTATACAATGAAATGGTAATACTTCATCTTCTCAGGTCTTTTGTTGTGTTTATTAATATTTCTCCGTGCGCTTAAAGAACGTAGTATTCTATTAATGTGTTTTTATGGTTTTAGTATTTTGTAATTTTAGATTACATGACAAGATTGTGTAGTGAAACACTGATTGTTATTTATTGAATTTATTATTTACACCACAATATTGAAAAAAATCCTGCAGAAGCTCATTATTATAATAGGGTAAATTGCACTATTCTCCCCTTTGTTTTTCAACAATTGCAGAATTTTGCACTCTCGTGCTTTTTCTGAGAATTTGCACAAACCTTTCTTTTGATAAAGGCAAATGAAACTAACGAAAGGCTGATGTCAGCTTTGCGCTTATTCTAGCAAATTTACTTAACAATTATTTTTTTATTTTAAATGACTTATGTGCTTTTATACAAACTAATATAAATTATATAATTCTTTAATGTTGTCCAACCAAGTCTTGTCATGCCACCTTTTATTTAAAGAACAATGAATCAATAACACCCAATCTATTCCCACACCCAATCTATTCCCACCCCATCACCAGGCTCTACAACCAAAACAGATGCACCCTCATCAGCTAACTTTACAAATTAACACCCAAGACCTATGGAAATCTGTATTCCCAAAGATAGATAGTGAGTACAACGACCATTGGTACTGCTACCTATTATGCAGTTCATCGTTATCTATATGATGATGATGCGCCAATGAATCATCATGTTTTCCCGCTTCCCCATGGATTATGGTCTTATAGACTCACACGTACACACTAGCACGCTCACACACACACACAGAGATAAATAAATATTCATATGTATATACGGTTGAATTAGATAACACAAACCCCTTGTTGGAAACTATTGTTGTAATGATGAACATATATAAAGTTTGATATACGCAATATACAAATATATGTATGCATATTGGATTTTATATGTATATATGGACATTGTACATTTGTGCATATATGTATGTGTATATAGTTATATACTATACATATGTTCTATGACGCACAAATGCGAACACACAGGCATGGACACAGAACATGATAATTTCAAAAAAATCAAGACACAGACAGTCGAGATATGGATTTTTTTAATATAATTTTATTTACTGTGTAAATATTACATCTACAAACAACTAATATTAGTGAAAGTTACTAATTTAACATAAAAAACACAAAATTTGAATCATTAAGCCACTAGATTTGTGTTGCGGCATTAGGGCTCGAGGGATTGTTAGAAGCCAATCTCTCAACTTCACAAGTGTGGTTAGATTTGTGTGCGTACTATTATCCACCACACCAAACCATCAAAATTCCACACAAAATCGATTTGAGAGTTATAAAAAGAATAATTTAAAACAATTCACTTCTAGGAAAAAATCAACCCAATTTAACCCATCGATTACGGTCAACCCACCTTTTCAATTCATCCAAAACGTCTCTCTCAAAACACTGCAATAACATGTTCATCACCTTCAAGTGCTGTGCTGCCACCGCACAAATCACTCATCACCGTCAATTCTCACCCCATCAAGCTCGAATCTCTTCCAAGCCCATCAATCACCATCTCATCCGATAAGTACCCAAACAATCTGAAACCTTGTACGACCATTACTGGCACTACAATCACCACAATCACAATGGCAAACAGTAGCCACCACTTGGATCATCCTTTTCGTCAAGCTGTAAGCCAAATCTCAATTTTCATCAAGTCAGCATTTATAAAATTACACATTGGTTTGTATTAAACACATAATATGAAAAGGCACTTCAAATAGGTGTCGTAGCCATGTCAGACATATCGGACAAGGCAGGGACACGTCTAACAAGGCCCTTGACACTCTTGTTTCTTATCTATTAGTGAGTCACATTTTATATATTTTTCTACTCCTGTTTCTTTTTGGCGGTAAGATATAAATGCACCCACCTGATCACTGCCTCAATCAGATACCAACCATTACACTGGGTAAATAGAGCTAGTGGATATGGAACCCTTTGACCTTCTTAACTGGGGAAGCATTAGATATCATGAAGCACCGACACTTCAAAATGGGTGTCATGTCGGACACATATGGACACCGATACGCCGGGGACACACATGTACACGTGTCAGACATGCCACTGGGTGTGTTAAATTTTTTTTTTTGCAAAAGACTATGGGGTTACTTCATGGACACGCATATATGTTTTAACATGCCAATGGACACCTTTGCGAGTTTCTTTTTATAATTTTAGAAAGCTAATTTGGGATCAAAGCAAAATATATGAAAACAAAGAGGGAGTAAAGTGAAAATAAAAATAAAAGTACATCCACATTTACATTGATGCCTTTTATATCTCGGTGTCCTAAATTTATATTTATATATTTTTTCTGTATCCCTGCTTTGTCTATATCTTAATTTTTTCAAAATTGCTGTGTCCTCTGTTATAAGAATTTTACAATTTGTGATTCGATTCACAATTCAATTCACAATTTTTGCAAAGAAAAATGATGCAGACCACTAATTAGTGGTTGCACTAGGGATGTGGTAGTGGGTCCCACCCACTGCCACATGCAAGGTTTTAAAAATCGGTCGCAACCGTTACGTAACGCCGTTACATAACGGTTGTGGTAGGTACCGCCACCCGTTATAGCCGCTTTTGCAGTGTGATTGAGATTCATAGGTGTATCGGCCGTAGCGGCTACTATAGCGGTCGTAACGGTGCCGTAACGGCCGCAACGGCCTGTTACGCACCGTTACGTAACGGTTCCGAATTGTTTCTTTTGAAAAAACACAAAAAAAAAAGCGTAAAATGGGAGAAGAGAGATAGAGAGAGAACAGGGAAGATGGAGGAACAAGATATTGAGAAAGAGAATAGGGAAAATGAAGAATACGTTATTGATTTGTTGAAATTGTAAAACCTATGCTATTCTATTCAGCTGCTATCACTCAACTATTTTGTTTGTGTGTGTCTATTTGTATATTGTTTGATAATAATAATAATAATAATAATAATAATAATAAGTGTGGTCATTATCTATTTGGCTTGATTAATATATATATATATATATATTTAGGCTTTTATTTATTCTCTTACTTTTGTCATTGTTTATCTTATATATAATAGTTAGTGATTGATTTTTTGTATAATATAAAGTCATTATTTATTAAAATAAAATGTAAAAAACTCAGTTTATAGTGATTTAAAAATATGAAATATATTGGATCAAACTTAAAAATTTATAAAAATTGTTCAATATTTATTTTAAAACCCAATAAATATGATCATGGAAAAAAAAATGTGCGTATCGGTAAATTTTTTTTAAATTGTGCGAAAAATAAAAAAATTTACGGTTCCGGTTACCGCAACCGTTACGCTACGGCCTTTACACCCTGCAACCGCGCCACCGCCACCGTTACGGCGACCGCAACCGCTTTTCAGAACCTTGGCCACATGTGTTTTGTGCCTTAGTTTTTGTTTTTGTTTTTTTTTTTTTTACTTGTCACATCATTAGTGGTGGTGTTAGTGATAAAAATTTAGTAGTATGTAGCATTGTTGTTTTGCAAAATCGATACGAATCTATGGGCGAATCTATTTTGGAAGTGAATTTTTAGTGAATCGCACGATTTACAATTGATTCACGATTCGATTTACTTTTTATGATTCATGCACTTTTAGAAATTATTGTGTCTGACATATTTTCGATTTTTTTTCTCCATCTTTTTAGTGAAAATGACATAATACAATTTTTAATAGCGTTTAATACCAAAATAACCAATATATATACATGATTTGTTGTTATTTTGGTGATCATTGAGTTTTTAATAAGATCCAATTAGATTCAGTCAAACCCAACATATTTTTAACGTTTCTTCTCATTTTTTTCCCTTTAAAAAATCATAATATATCTTCTAAAGATGTTTAAAATTAAAGTTACACTATGAATTATCTATTGATATTCTATTAAAGGTCAATTATACCTTTTAGAATGTTCTAGGTTTTAAAATCAAATATTTTAAATAATTCTTTCTTATTATTTGTTCACTTTTACTTGGCAACGTATATATGCTTATTGTTCAAATATCAATATCGTTGTTAATTATTGTTACTTTGGAAATTGATATTTTGTCTATTTGGTTACTGTCTCTATTAAGAATGGTTGATAAGAAATATCTAAAAAAGAAAAAAGGTAAGATGGTTATCTTACGTAGGAACTTTTGTTAACTTCTTACCTATTAAACTACGTGATTATCATTCAAAATAACATTTTTATTGATTTAAGTCTAAATATTTTATATTCATAAGATGTATTTAATATTTAAGTGTGTAGACATATGTTTTTAAGTAATTTAGAAAAAGTGACCGAATCTTTACGATTCACGATTCGATTCGATTCGCGATTCTTTATGAGGCCATTTCGATTCACGAGACGAATCCCAATTTGATAACTATGACTGTGTCCCATGTCCATACCTATATCTGTGTCTGTGCTAAGGATATCATTAATCACAGCTTAACGATGTCCCTTACTCAATTAGAACATTCTGCTTGAACCTGAAAATTAGAGCAACCAAAACTAATTTGTCTTTAATTTAACAATTGGGACTATTACTAGTGGTTTGTTAACTGACGTGTGATTGCAAAAATATTTTGAACCTGCAGAGCCGACCTGTGGAGGAATTCTATCGCAGTCGTGGGAAGTTGTTAGAGTTTGATCTTCCAGGGGGAATCCCAGAATCCTGGCCAAAACTACTTCGAGCATTGAATCTGGATAATCACGAGTACACCACATCTGCAGCAGCATAGATTCTTGCAGTGTAGATAGTGTATTATTATCAAGGTAAGTTGATCATTCTTTCCATTTGTGATATGTGTGCATATTAATTTTTACGGAAGAAGTATAATTCTATTCTTATGCAATAAAGTAAAATCTTGGAAGATTCCCTAACTATTTGTTGAGGTAACTTCCTTTCGGGTTGGTTAGATACGTCTGGGATGGTTTGATGTATGTATGGCATATTATGTGGCTCTACTTATCCAGGAAAAGAAAAAGAAAAGTAGTAAAAGGCTCTTGGTCATTTCATTTGTGTATTATCTCAGTATTAGTTTAGATGATAGAAGTAACATATTTTACTTAACCTAAATTACCTTTACATGATCAAATAACTGCTTCAATTCTCTGTAATTGTAGGGGCATGGGAAATATTGACATGCACATACCAATAATGGCTAGTATCTATCTATGTTGTTCCATATCTTTACTAGCTATCTACCCATATCTATATCTATCTATTTATCTATACTATATATAAAGTGAAGCTTGGAGATGGTGTTGACACAGGCGCTTCTATTTGCACCTCAAAAAGTAGGTTAGGCAATCCAATTTAATATTACTATTAAGTCGTCCCTATTTAAAATGACTAAAATGTACTTGAAAAAATGTAAATAGAAGTGTTTTGAATACCCAATTCATCATCAGCCCCAATATTTCTTTTCTCTCTATCTTCCTACTTTCATCACTTTGCATCTTCATACCCAGCCCTAACCCTAACCCAACCCTATTTGTTTTAGTTCATCATTCTTGCATTCTATTTCATATTGAAATCAATAATGGATAATAAAGATGTTTCCAAGCAATTTTCTATAGAAAAAGTAAGTTTTTAATTGTTGTTCATCATTTTTCGTAAGTTGGTTTTTCGAATTGATTTGGCACTGAGTATCCGAACAAACTCCACATGTTTGGAATTAAGTATCCGGACAAATATATTTTGTTCGGCACTGAGTATCCATATGAAACTGGAACTCAGAATGGACGGATTGTGTAGAGGAGTAGAAACTCTCTTCGTCTCGGAATCCCTCCGTCTCTGATGAACTCAGAATCTCTTTTCGTCACTTGGAATTCCACAGACCTAAATGTAGTTTTTATTTCTCTGTTTATTAGTCATGGGATGTTTTTGTATAGGGTTTTAGGATTTTTAGGGTTATGATAGGTATTATTTGGGGTGTCCAAACAAATAAATAAAATTTCAAATTTATTATTGCCCAATCTACTTTTTTCGGGTGCAAATAGAAGCTCCCTGTTGACACAAAATGTCACAATTTTTGATTTCCGAAAATGCCCTTCTAGCCTAATTAAAATACAAAATTATATAGAGAAAAAGCTGAGACTCGAAACTAAAACCTTTGGTCGGGTAGACAATGCGTGCTTTTAAATCCAAATCAAAGTTTATATTTTTCAGATTTAACAGAACATCTATTTGGTGGTCAGACACGACTAGTTATTATATAAAGAACACAACTTACTTGGTGAAGCTATGTCACAATTTTTTTCATGCCCAAATTACCCCTGCATAACTGCCAATTGCTTTTATTTTAAATTTTTATTTCTTCTGCAATCAGGTTTTTTCCTGAGAAGATGGTTACAACTGTCTTTCACTTGTGCACATCTGAATAATGCCAAGCAATTTTTGAAGTTGAAAGTCTCTAGCAGTGCGAAGTTCCAAATCGACTATTGACTCTACTGTATCAACTTTATCCATTCTTGTATTGTACGTAGTTGGGAAAAAAGAAGAAGAAAAGAAATAACCCCATGGTCTAAACTCTGGTGTTTGTGTGGGGTAGAAATTTGGATACTAATAATTGAAACATGAGTTTGTCACTATTCGATACTGACCAACCATTTGAGGTAGAAGTTCTGGTGGCAGGGGAAGCTGGAATTGAAGATTTATGATTATTTACTGTTAATTAAGGTTATTTAGGTCCTGTTTGGTATTGTTTTCAATTTTTGTTTTTGTTTTTCTTGTTTTTAGAAATAAAAATAATAAGTTCAAAAAGCTGATGTCATTGTTGTTATTATTGTTAATTTTTTTTTTTCTTTTTTGAGGGAGATGTCAAGGTATGTTACTACTATCAAAATAAAACAAAATTAGTTGCTCCTAATGTCAAAATGCAACAATACATGATGCTTGGATGGTAGCCAAACGTGCCCGTGCTTCGATCATAGAAGTTGTGAATGAGTCAAGTAGAATAATATGTTGTTATTTATCAAAAAAAAAGTAGAATAATATGTTGTTTAAGTTTTATTTGAAAATTTAACGAATTTCAAAATGTTTTTAAGTTTGGCTTGTTTACCTTTTGTTAGATAAATATACATTGTTGGAAGCCATTTCTTTAGCTTAAATTTTTGAGACTAGTGTTGATTTAACATGATATTAGAATTTTAGCTCGGTCTACTTGATATTTTGGGACAAGTGGTGACAAACAAGAAACAAGAACACAAAGGGTTCGCGTCTTTCGGCCAATTCTGACCTAGGTGCACAAAGAAAGTCACTATGGGCCCACATGTTTCATTCAATCTATAATTTAATTGATTGAACTAAAATTAACACCCAAATCATACAATCATAAAATCATCAAACTCAATCTTCAATGTAATTTTGTTGTGTAATTTTATTTTCAAACAAAAACAAACGAAGCGAATTGTCCAACTTGAACTCGAAGATGGATCGTGCAAAATTACCGTGTATGTGAGTGTACTAAAAATGTTGGGAATTTGATTTCATTGAAAATGCCAAAAAAAAAAGAAAAAAAGTGACTTGGATAAAAAGTGCACAAAAATGATGCGTCGTGCAAACACATTTGCATGGAATTTATTCATCTTACAACCACGAGAGTAAGGCACGAAATGAACATTGTGCAAATAGAGATGAAAATGAGAAGTTAGGAAAGAAAATTGCTCAGAATAAGCATCATGCGAACCAAGAAAAATGATGCATGCGAGGAGTAAGACATTTTGCGAAAAATAAAATGAAACAAAAAACATGATTCAACCAAATAAAATTGTTTTGTTTGGTGGAAAAAGGGTTTTGGTTGGTGGGCCTTTGTTGAGAGAAAGAATGCTCTAATGATCGTTTAGTGAATTGGTGGGAGGAACGAATACCCTTTCGTGGAGAAAACAAAAAGTTGGGCAAAATCCATTTTATCTGTTGTTGTATGATTTAATAGTATTTTACTTTAATATTTTTTAAAAATAGTCATATATCTTTTATATGGTTTTAGACTAAAATGTTATAGTTTACTTTTTTATCTAAATTAATAGAGGGTTTCTCACATGCCTACTTTGACAGTGAAAAAGAAACAAAAATAAGTCAAAGCTAAATTTGAATGTAAGTAGACGAAATTAGTCTTGTTTTATCTCTCCTTTTTTTTTTTTGTTTTAAAATCTAAACTTCTTATTTAATAACATTTTAAAATAAACATATATATATATAACAGATTAAACTATAAATTAAACTAAACACCGTAATTTATTACCATAAAATTACTTTATTTAACAACATTCTAAATTAAATACATACATAATACATATATATATATATACACACATACATAAAACAAATTAAATCATAAATTAACTTAAATAACTTAATTTATTACCATAAAATTAAATCATCAAAGAACCTTAATCTAATTTTTAATTTTTAACTTTTAACTCAATTTATTATTTAATACAATTTTAAATTAAACATGTACATATATATATATATATATATTTAACAAACTAAATCATAGACTAATTCAAATTAAAGATTAAGTTTTTTTTTAAAAATATTTAGTAAACTCTAGTTTCTTAAATTAGTTTTGTGTTATGTTTTTAATTTTTTTTCTTAGTCATGGAGGTAAATTTATTTATTTATTTACAAAGAAAGCCAAAAATAGAAGAAGACATAAAGGGTATAATTGTCTTTTTATTGTTAACATGAATGGTGTTAAGGTTGCATTTTAGTTCAAAACCACATAGGGCTATATGGCTATTTTTAAAAGACATGGGGTAAAGTGCTATCAAGCCACACCACAGGAGGATAAAATGGATTTTGCATAAAAAATAATATTGGGTTGTGAAGAGTTACAAATCGCTTCTTTATGCATTTAGAATTTTGAATCTATTAAGGTTGTGTTTGAATCATTGATTTAGAGAGGGATTTGAAAAGAGAAAATAAAAGGAAAAGATGGATGATGTGGGGGCCGAATATCATGAGCCGTAGAGAAGCCGAATAGTTGGACTTGGAAGTCAAAATATACGCATCGCATTCGGCTCCGTCTTTCACATTTAAATCCTACCTTATCCGGCCAAACAGCCGGTTGAGTAAGAGGCTGAGTGAATAGCGGTTTGTAACAAAAGAAGCCGAATGAATAGTTATACGGCGAATAGAAAGTGGGCCCAGCCCCGAGGCCCAAGAAAGAGAGGATATAAATAGAAGAACACCAGCCAGAAAGAGGTATGTGAGAACCATTACACTTAACTTAAAATACAAGTAATTCAGAGAGTAGAGACTGACTTGTCCGTCGGAGTGCTAATTCCGGCACCCACGACCGGAGTGTTTATTCCTTTTTAGGTGACTAGCTGAAGATCACGAGCATCCCCCTGGATCAGAAGAGTATTTCCAAACCACTTCTCCACAGATGAAATGTAACTATATTTCATTTATATTTCACTTATATTTTTCCTTTTCCTTTATCTTTTTTAATCCATACTCAAATTCATGAATTAAACACAACATAAGAGAAAAAGAAAAAGAAAGACATTATCATTTTTTCTATACTTTATTTTGTTATTATTTTTTGTTCACAAATTTATGATTCAGACAATAATCTTAATCAATGGCTAAAAATTGTAAAATTCAAACGCAAGAAAAAATGGTGGTCTTCTCTTTTATCTTTGCTTTGTTCATTTCTTTGAATTGAGGACTTGAGTTTAAGAATTGTTATTGAGAGGTTAATTTTGGCTTTGCCAATCAACTTTTTAATTAATAAATTGAGCTAATTCAATTAATCGTTCTTGTACAATCCAATTTAGGAAGTCAGTGGTCGATTCTCAAGATAGGTAAAGATTGATCCTATAACGAGAGCCCTTTGTTGTAGTGAGTTATTTATTTATTTTCATTATAGGCTATTTCTTGTGTTAGTTGTTGGACTATTGACTATGTCCTGTTGGATTATAATTGTCTTATTTGATGTAATTCTTTTCATATTTATAATTATTTTTTGTTATCGATTGGCAAAAAAGTCAACATTTTAATTATTACGGAAGAAAACAATAATTTTTATAAAAGATATACAATTATTTTAAATTTTATTAAGCAATACCCTTAAAACACTAATTAATAAAACTCAATATAGAAAATCACTCCCCTTTCTATTCAGAGTTCGTATTTGCTAAAATTAAAAATCTTAATTTCAAATGTGAAGTTGGCATATTATGGGACTAATTGGCACCAATATTTATAATCTGAACAGTTCATTTCATATGACAAACTGAGAAAAACATGTTGTAGACACCCTATTTTCGACCAGTCTTGAGACTTGGGCGCCCTTTTTGAGTTCTTGATGATGAAAACGAGAGGTGTTAATGTTTGCAAATTGCACGACAGGAGTTCTAAGGATAAAGCTTTAAACCCTCCAACGACCTGTTTCGGAGAAAATATTTTTTGACCAACATGGGAACCTTTTCTTTAAAAATGAGTTTTAGTGGTGCAACTCCAGACATCGCCATAATGTTCTAATGATCATATTTTTTTATTTTAAGGTCAAAATGTTGTATTCTTTCAAACAGACGGAGCGAAGAATATAGTGGAAGTGAATGAGAAGGATGAAATCCTCTGAAATACTTGGTTCTCCCTTTAATTCAGGTTAACTTGGTTTTGTTAATTCGACGATGTGACAATCCCTTTATGTATTATGCTTTTAATTCCTTAATTGTGCATGTGCTTTTATGCTAAGTGTGAATTTGAGTGATTAATATGTTTGACTTTATATCTGTTGATCGTAGGAAAGTCTGTTATGATTTTTGCTTTGATCTGAAAATTGAAGGTCTTAATGGCATCAGAAATCGAAATTGGTTAATTTATGTGATCTACATAATTTTTAGAATCTATTAGAAAGTTTGATTAAAATTTGATTCAGTCTAAATTAATTGGATTAAACTAATCAGAACAAAGTGTAATTAGTTAATCTTAAGCCTTGATTAACACCCTAATCTAATCCTCAAATATATATATATACACATGTTGTAATTAGAGCTTGAAGCCCTCAATTATAAATTTGAGCTAAAAAATTCTGAGATAGAGAGCTTTAGAGAGAGAGAGAAGAGCTTGAATTTGAAGAATTTGCTAAGAGGCTTGTGAATTGTGAAGTAGAAGCTCAAGAATTTACTAAATTGATCTAAATTGAAGATCCTAGGTAAGCGTTTGAACCCTTCTTTATGAGTTTAAGTTATTTAAGGTGTGAATTCAAGAGAATTATGTGATTGAGTACAAGAATTAAGCTAAGATTGTTGAATTTAGAGATAATTCATACATGCATGCATAGTTTAGTTGAGTTTCACTAATTTTTTGAGTATAATTATCTCATTCATGTTGAATTTGAAGATGAATTGTACATGCATGCATGAATTACAAGGTTTTGAAAGTAAATTGGATGTTTTGAAGCTTTGGAATAGAATTTGAAATTAAAATCAACATGCTTGAAGATTTGGGTCCTTGAGCTTTGATTTTTGAGAATTGGCTTTGTATTCATGTTTTTGGAAGATTTTCTAACTGTTTTCAAAGTTTTGTCAAGCCATGAAAGAAATTGATTTGAAAATTCAAGATTTGAAGCTCACCTCTGTTATGGAATTTCCAGAATTCTGTCACACCGCTTGAGCGAACAATCTATCACTCGAGCACACATTGCATGTATCTAGTATTTTTGCAGACACTTGCAGTTGGCTCGAGTGACCAAGTCTGCCTCTTATTTTGCACCTTGGCTCAAGCGAATATCGAGCCTAAATTTGGACCATCCAGTACTTTAATTTGCAGACCAAGTGGTCCGCTCGAGCGACCAATGTTGTGCTTGAGCGAAGTGCTCTGTTTCAGCAAATTTTGAAAAGACATATGTGCATCCTCATTCC